GGGGGGGGTCCCGGGGTACCTGCAGTCCTTCTCGAACTCCTTGGACTCGTCGGTGCAGTAGAAGAACTTGCCCTTGAAGAGCTGCACGGCCACCACGGCGAAGATGAACATGAAGAGCATGTAGACGATGAGGATGTTGAGGACGTTCTTCAGCGAGTTCACCACGCAGTCAAAAACAGCCTGGGGAGGGGGGACAGCGAGAGGGGAGGGGGCTCAGCATAGGCTGGGAACCCCCCAACACCCCCCCACCCTTGGTGGGCAGCAAATACCCCCCACCTTGACCCCTAAAACCCCTCAGAGACACCCAAAATCACCTCCCCAAGGACTCCCAAACCCACTCAGAGACTCCCAAAACGCTCCCAGGGACACCCAAAACTCCCCCAGGGACCCACAAAACCCCCTCAGAGACCCACAAACCCTCCCCCAGGGACCCCCAAAACCACCCCAGGCACCCCCAACCCCCCTCCAGGGACCCCTAACCCCCCCCCAGGGACCCCCAAAACCCCCCCAGGGACCCACAAAACCCCCCCAGAGACCCACAAACCCTCCCCCGAGGACCCCCAAACCCACCCAGAGACTTCCAAAACCCCCCCACGGACCCCCAAACTCCCCCAGGGACCCCCAAACGAGCCCACCTTGAGCTTGGGCAGCCTCTTGATGGTCTTGAGGGGCCGCAGGACACGGAGGACGCGTAGGGACTTGATGGTGTTGATGTCCTTCCCTTTGCTGCTGCCGCTGTGGGATGGGAGGGGGGGATGTGAGACCCTGGAATCCCCCCTGGAATCCCCCCTGGAATCCCTCCCTGGAATCCCCTCTGGAATCCCCCCCAGCAGGACCACGGGCGGTCCCACCCCCTCTCCTCCCCTTCCATGGTCCCCCCCTCCCTCGAGATCCTTCCCCCCTCTCCCTTTCCCCCCCCAATCCCGCCCTGAGGTAGCTTTTGGAGGGTGGGAGAGCAGGTTTTTTGGGGAGGGGGGAGGAGAGGAGGAGGAGGAGGAGGAGGGGGGGAGCGAGGCACGACCATGAGCACGAGGAGAGGACGAGGACACGGAGACGAAGGCAGAAGGATTTAGGATTTACCGTGAGCTGCTCCTGTGGCGGTGGCAGAGGAAGGGGAGAGACAAGGCACGGTGAGAGCCCAGACCACCCCCCTCTCAGGACCCCCTCCCCCAGGACCCCCGTGGGAGGGGAGGGGGTGGAGCCACAGGACATCCCGATCTCCTGGGAGGTACTCGGGGTCTGCTCCGGGCTTACTCACACCTCGCTCGGGGGGTGGGAGATGCTCAACCCCTGCTTTGGGGTCACTCGGTTATAGGGGCAGTGCCCAGGTTACTCTGGGGACGCTCAGTTACTCAAAGGATGCTCCAGCTTTGCTTCGGGGGTGCTCAGTCACTCAGGGGATTGGAATCCTTCACTCAGGGGATTCTCACCCTTTGGGGGATCCTCACCCTTTACTCAGGGGATGCTCCACCTTTACCCAGGGGATGCTCAACCTTTACTCAGGGGATGCTCGTTCTTTACTTGGAGGATGCTCCTCCTTTAAGGCTGCTCAGACACTCAAGGGATGCTCACCCTTTAAGGATGCTCGGTGGCTCAGAGGATGCTCCCCCTTTACTCAGGGGATTCTCACCCTTTACTCAGAGGATGCTCACCTCTTACTCAGGGGATTCTCACCCTTTGGGGGACGCTCCCCCTTTACTCAGGGGTTCCTCACTCTTTACTCAGGGGATGCTCCCCCTTTACTCAGGGGATTCTCATCTCTTACTCGGGAGATCCTCACCCTTTGGGGGACACTCATCCTTTACTCAGGGGATGCTCAGCTCTTACTCAGAGGAGGCTCCCCCTTTACTCAGGGGACGCTCCCCCTTTACTCAGGGGATGCTCCCCCTTCACTCATGGGTGCTCCCCCTTTACTCAGGGGGTTCTCACCCTTTGGGGGATTCTCATCCTTTACTCATGGGATCCTCACCCTTTGGGGGATCCTCACCCTTTACTCAGGGCATCCTCAGCCCCTCAGGGCTCCCTCACCCCTCCCTAGGCCCTTCCTCATCCTCTCTTACTCGCAGGTTACTCCTCCCTCCCCCCCCCCACGGGATGGTGACAGGACGACACAACGTCACAACGTGGTGACAAACGGCCCAGGACGGACGGACGGACGGACGTCGAAGCGACACAGAGAGAGAGAGAGAGAGAGAGAGAGGGCGGTGGCACAGCCCCCCCGGGGGCACTGGGGGGGCACTGGGAGAGGTGCCCCCCACCCAAAATCCCCCCCCGTGTCCCCCCCAGACTCACGTGAAGGCGAAGGCCACCAGGGCCCCGCTGACCACGATGAAATCCAGAATGTTCCACAGGTCCCGGAAATAGGCACCTTGGTGAAGCACCAGCCCCAGATCCACCATCTAAGGGGGGGTCAGGGGGGTGTCAGGGGGTGCCAGGGGACCCCCCATCCCCCCGTGGGACCCCACCCTGCGCTCACCTTGATCACCATCTCGAAGGTGAAGACCCCCGTGAAGACGTAGTCGAAGTAGCGCAGCACCTGCAGGTGGGGTGGGGTGGGGGGAGATGGATGGGGTAACCCTCTTCCCCCCCCCCGGGACCCCTCAGCATCCTGGGATCCCCTCAGCACCCTTGGAGCCCCCCCAGCACCCCCCAGGACCCCCTCAGGACCACCCATCACCCCCCAGCTGCTCTCCGGCTCTCAGAGTCTGTGAGAGCCCTCACCCAGCTTTGGGCTGTATTTTGGGGTCCCCCCCTTTGCAGATCAGCCCCAGGGGGTCCCAGCGGGTGTCGGGGGGAGTCTCACATTGTTCCAGGGGGTGTTGGAGCATCCTGGGACCCTCCCTGGGACCACCCATCACCCCTCAGCCGCTCTCTGGCTCTCAGACCCAGCACAGAGACTGTGAGACACCCCCATTGCTTTGGGGTGTATTTTGGGGTCCCCCCCTTTGCAGATCAGCCCCAGGGGGTCCCGGCGGGTGTTGGGGGGGGTGTCTCACGTTGTTCCGGGGGGCGTTGGGCTGCACGGGGTCCTCGGCGGCCAGGGCGATGCTGCTCATGGCGATGACCATGAGGATGCACATCTCGAAGTACCGCAGGTTCACGATGTAGTGGCACAGCCGGCGGAACCTGCCGGGGGTGGGGGACAGTGTGGGGGCACCCCCCGACCCCCCTAGAGCCCCCTCGACCCCCCCCCCGAGCCCTCCAGAGCCGCCCCAACACCCCACCCCCCTCCCGGCGCTCACGGGTTGGTGGTGGAGAGGATGAACATGGAGCTGTAGGGCACCATGGGCTTGGGGCCGTTCTCGTCCTGCCCGTCGCCTTCCTCCTCCTTCTTCTCCTCCTCCTCCTTGCGGGGCAGCGGCTCGGGGTTGGCGTTCTTGTTCACTGCGGGG